ATCATTTTCATCACCTGTTTTCTATCTTTGGTAATCTAGAATTTGCACAATTTGATTACAGTTCAGCTTTTATTTCCAATGAGTTGAAACAAACTGCATTCTGGATGTATGTCTATGAGTAGAACTACTACATTTAATTCTTGAAGCAATGTACAAGTAGAGCACTATAATAGGACCATTTGCTAAAGTTTTCTTGGAACTATGGTTTAAAAATCTCCTGATTACAAAAGCCATTCCAAATGTTTCCCTTCACTTTATTCTGTCATTGCTGCCAACTTCTAACAACTCCTCATGAGCAACTGTTCATTTTTCAAAAAATGTCAGCTTCAGTGGATACTGTGCCAACATGGCTAACCAACACTAAGTTACTTATCATAAGGCATCATGTACATGTTAACAAGTATGAGCTTTTAGTGGAAGGGATTGAAATTCCATGAACATCAATCCCAGCTATGCTCATTTATGGGTCAGCAGTTGGAGAGATTATAATGTCTCTATGACATCTAGCTCATGTGAGTGAGGGAATGAACAGCTTGATGTCAGACAGATGAGAGCCAGACACAATTGTATATATAAGCATCTGATGAGCCAGCTCAAATCATATCATTGTGTTTACTGCTGCTTTGAAAATCAGCATTAAAAATCTTAGCCTTTACCTACATTTAAATAAGAAAAGTCAACATATTACTTTCTTGACCAATTAACACAGTGATGAGATTTTAGGGCTCCACGATGGTTTTTATGAACCATTTACTAAAATTACACAAGTTAACAAAACAGGTTTTTAAATTCCCTTGGCCAGTATATCCATTGACAAAGTATGTAGGGATGTCAAAGGTAGAAAAAGAGAGAAGTTGTTCTTAATTTCATAGAAAAAAATCTGGGATGCAAAAGAGAGAACCTGTTTCTAAAAAAATTTGAATCCCATCACTAATATTTACAAATAGATACATAGATATGGATAGGTGGAGATAGAAAGATAAATATGAAAAACTGAAGCCAAGATATGAACAGTCTATATTTCTGTGATGAAGTATTATGTACATTATTTACATTATTCGGACTATTGTCCTCATCTTTGTTGCCATATTTATTACAACGTTTGACGGCCGTTATGCGCTCCACGCCTTCTTCAGGTGGTTGGAATGTCTACCCCAGTGAGCGAAATAAAGGGTTCAGTTCGACATTCCAACCACCTGAAGAAGGCCGGAGCGTACAACGGCCGAAACATTGTAATAAATATGGCGATAAAGATGAGGACAATAGTCTGAATAATGTAAATAATGAAGATATGAACAGATTAGTAAAGAGCAATAAAGACTGAGACAGAGAAACAAAGATGCAAAAGTTATGATAAAGAAATAAATTATTTGATAGATATGAATAAAGATATAAACTGTGTGAGCATCAGAATCAATACTAAATGGTGACTATCATTTTCATGTCTCAAGCAGTCTCCAGACCAGGATTTGGCATGAAGTGGTTACAATATTTGCTTGGTTTCAATGTCCATACTATCTACATTCATAAATGCTCTATCTCTGATATTGAGCACTATTCTTCTGTAAATATAGCGAATTTCAAACAATATATTTATTGAAAAGAATTATGGATAGCTATTGAAAGATATGTAGAGTGTAAGGAAGAATACTAGAGTACTTGTAAATGAAACAGAGGGAGAGTGAGAGAATGCAAGAGAATATGATCTGAGGAAGAAAAAAGGGAATAATAAATTAGATAAATGAAAGTGCATATATTTAAATAAAAATGATACATTAAATTAGCAAAAAATTGGAATAATGTAAATAAGGCCCCCACCAATGTGGAAATCAAACATATATATGCAGTGAAAGTTTCAAAAAATGCTACACTTGCATGAATATTTAACATCTGAATGTAAATCCTGTCTTAACTTATGAGGTGATCAATGAGATTATTCCAAGAGTTATTTGAACAACTTATTGTTCTATGTGCAGTGTCCCTTAAGGATGTGGGTCTCTACAACATCCTGTTAAATAGTTGGACTTGTATCTGGAAAAAGCTTTATCTCCAAAAATTGTTAATGCAATATTCACTTGCAAAAAAACATAGAAAAAAATAACAAAATCTCTCTCTCTCTCTGTCTTTGCTATCCCTTTACACAAGCTTGTTAAGTAGGTTATTTGCTGCTTTCCTGTCTCATTTGTCAATATGTCCTGTGAGTGTCAAATTTTTCAGTCCTTCTTTTCTCATTATATGTCCCAGAAATTTTATCTATCTCTTTGATTTTATGTATAATTGTCCTTTTGTTTCCATTTTTCTTATAGCTTCCCCATGGCTTACATACTCTGTCCATGGTATTCTTGGTATCCTTTTGGTGAATCATATTTCTGTTGCATCAAGACTCCTTTTCATCTGTGAGGAAATTAACCAGCATTCACTGCCATATAGGAGGTTTGATATTAAATAGTAGTTCAGAGCTCTTTTCTTTGTTTCTAATGAAGACAACTTTGTTTTTTATCAAAATGTTTTTGTGAAATGGTTCCTAGATGTTCTGTAAATATATAGATCAAACAATTGGGGGTTTTCATTTATTTATTTAGATGATTTTAAATGTAGATGTGTAAGCTTAATGCAGACAGAAGAAAGTCAGTATTCATTCTAAAAAAAAAAGTCTGGCTACATATGGTGAATGAAACAATACTAATGCTAAAGATATAGTTTTATAAATTTTAGGGGCCATTTATATTCCCCAAGAGTTTTTTGAAAGAACAAAAGCAACACAAAGAATAAATAGTTTGAACAACTCTTTGAACATATATATTCTTAAATAACCTAGTTTGGTCAATACTTTCATAAGGATGTCATGCATAGCACCAAACCTGTTCAGAAATATCTAAACTGTCAACTATATACAGCCGCATTCTCAGATCAATGTTTAAAAATAGCTTTGAACAAGGGAAGCCAGTCGCAAAGACCATATTTCTTTGAACATTGTGTACTAGCGTTATAGATTCAGAAACACAGAACTGTACCAAATAACAGAAATCACATCAGTTAAAAAATTATTATAAAGTTATGTGTAACAGTATGTGTATGACTGATTCTCTGTAAGTATGTATGCATGCATGTATGTTCTTAATAAATAGTATGTGTCTTTGGCAGTGGGCGTACATGTGAGTATCAGTATTCAAGATATATGTGAACATTTTGTGTGATTCTATGTGCACATCGATATATTTTTATATATGAGTGTAAATCAAAAATTATCTGCATTTTCACCATAACTTATCTTTAGGTTTGCCACACTGCCTTCTGGCCATGCGTGCTTATAGTTGATACTCTCAGATGTCTTTGATATATCTAAAGCCACAGCCCAAACTTTGCCATTCTTATCTAAAGTTCATCATACTTTTTCAGTGATAAATATTAGCACATCAGTAGCTGATCTAGAGAATCAAAAGCCATATTATTTGTCTGAAAGAAGGCCATTCAAAATAAGATATGTAACCAATTCAGAGTTGATTAGAGCCTCTTGGACTTTGCCAAAAAGAGATAAAAGACTAATAGGACAATAATTTGAGAGGTCAGAGTGTTCACTCGAATTCTTACAAACACAAACTACAGCAGAGGATTTCCAACAAGCTGGAAAGTGAGAAACAACTAGGTATTTATTGTAGAGTTTAGAGAGAACATGAGCATATTTTTTAGGATCATTGCAAGGAGGCCGTCAGTAGACATTCAGCTTGAGGTGGAAACTCAGGCAAAGATACTCCTGATGTCAAGAGTTGGAAACAGTAGATTACAGCACTTCAAACTGATTGAAGATAAAATGGATTTATTTTTATTTAACACACTCTTACAGAGCCACCAGTAATCACAAAAGCCAAACTTGTGAGAGGTGATACAGTGTCTAATTCTATCAGTGAAGCAGCAACTTAGTGTTGTTGAGGACACACTTACAATTATCATGTTAGTAAAGCCAGAAATGATTTCTGTGGGTTATAGCAGCTGAACAGGCAGAAGTAAATCAAGGAGAATATAGTTTTACTTGGTAATTTCATGATGGCACTAAAGCATTGATACTGGCTTTGACTCAAAAAGTAACTTTGGTGGTACAATTTTAAACTTAAAGAGATTAAAGATTAACTCCAAGAGATGTCACAAAGAAAATCACAAAATGAAATCACCAGTTTATCACCTAGAAAGATGCCAAGTTCTAGGAGGATGGAATCATGAAGCTGCCTCAAAGATGGTAAAATATAGTGGAACAAAATGGTACATACATCGTGAAATGTAGAAATATCTAAGATATTATTTTTAAAATTCACTTGAAATACACTACAAACCATTTTTCCAAATCCAGTAGTTTTATACCTGCATATAAAGATATATTTAGCTCTTAAATATTTCTAAAAGATAAATACATGAGAAAAATATAATTTACTTTTTCATGTATAAACATGGACAGTTTTTTGCACTCTAAATAGACAATAAAAATTACAGCAGCACATAAACCATGTAAGTATGTTGAATTGTCTACATCTGCCAGTCAGATCTTATGTTTGAACCAAGAGCTTTATTTCGATATTTCAAAAGAATAGGAGCCATTATTTGCATCCAGAAAAATTTTAAGAGTTAAATATCATCATTATTATTATATGTTGGATGTCAGAAATTTCACAAACTTCATCTAATAGCAAAATAGATAATATAATAGCAACATTGACATTGATAGTTTGCTTATCAAAATTAATTTAGGAATACCTAAAGTAAACTTAGTACAACAAATAACCATAATAAGTATAAGACACCCAGTTAGGAAGGAACTAAATGTTTTATTATTGCCAATGATTTTAAAGGAATTATTAGCATTGTTTTCATATTTCTTGCTAGAAAAAAATTTTTTTAATTTCTTTTGTCAATTTTGGAATAGAATGTAGATGAATTCCTAACTGAATTTCAGGGATGAGGAGTTATTATTTACACTATTTACATGCAGATTATTGTCAACAAGCTTACAGCCACATCATGTCAAAACACTGGTTCCCGTATGAACACTGAACTTAAGCAACATCAAGCCTGGTCAGTACCTAGATGGGTGACCACTTGTGAATACTAGGTACTGTAAGCTTCGATGTGCAGGTAGTGTAATGGATAATTGCCCAGAACAGGTAATCAGAGAGCCAAGTTTCAATTCCTGTTGGGTTTGTTATATTCACTTACACACAAATACCCTTGAGAAAAGGATGAATCCACTTCTTCTCCACCCAGATATGGATTAATTAGTAAGACATATCACTAAACCATTATTATCTCAAAAAGAAAATTCTTACAATCTAAAAATGTTTTCTGGTTTTAATTAACCTGCAAAGGATTGATAAACTGTTATAGCATACCTACAGACAACAATGGGTATGTCCCCATTCATATAAATACAGTAGTAAATACTGCATGTTGGTCTGTAGTTGGAGATTTGTCTCCAGCTGTGCTGGTCAAACTCTCTGCCTCCAAGCAGAGAGGATTCCCAGACAAGGCTATGTCAAAGGGCAGAGACTTATCTTGGGAAAACAGCTACCTGACCCTGTTTTATATGGAGCCTATGGGGAATTTCTGACCCCACATTAAATTTGGCCTTGTGCCACATCTGACTGTGTGGGGTGATTGGTAGATTCATTGTGGAATTCACTTGACTCACTTCTAGCAGTTGACTACTACTTCTACACACCGCTGGCGAATCTTATATATGTTGTTCTTGTCCTAAGTATTTTTGTTCATTACCAACCTTTGTGTGATTATTCTATTCAGTAACATTCCCTAGGTTACAACATAAACCATAGAAAATGAATGAATCAATCAAACTATTATCAACAAAGATAAGAATACTAGTCCACATGTAAATAGTGGAGAAATTCATATAAAATAAACATTTCTTTTTATTAATATTTAAACTATAATGCATTTAAAGTGCCCAATAATAATACTGGGCAAGAAAGATTTTGCTACTGGGGTAAAAATGTGTGTTGCAGTCTAAATTATGTATTCTAATTCTGAATCCATACTCAAAATTGTTCTGCCACATCAGGTTTAATATCATGCACATGATCAGGCAGGCCTTGCATAAATTACACTGGGCAGTAAAAATACGGTTTGCTACTCAGACAAATGATCATATATTAAACTAAAATAGACTATTTCTAAATCTGTACTCAGAATTGTCCTAGTGTATCAGGCTTTTGAAATGTATTAGGGATGACAAATAAGCTTGTACGCAGTCAGATTTTATTATGCAAACCAATGTTTTCGCAATAAAATCTGTAAAAATTTCATATTTATTGTTATATTTATATATGAGCAATATTATTATGTGAGTTCCAGCTTATAATACCTATCCTTTGTGGCTGCATTGGTAATAATTTAGTTCTGTCCCCAGATAAATTTTCTCCCACCAACAAAAATATAGAGTGTGATAATTGAGTGAAAACAATATGTGAACAAATGATTAAGAAGACAAAAGTTGTAGTTCCAATAACTGTTGAAGTAATTAGTTTTTAACAAATCTTTGTCTTTGAAGACAGTGTAAAATGAAATGGATATTTCTTATTCAGCCACTGAAAAAAATAATTCCTGCAAAAGCTGAGAGTGCATGCATATAAATGAAATTAGATTACAAATAGCCGGTTGACTTTCTTTTACTGGATGGCCTGTACGTCTTTAAGAGAGAGGGATAGAGAGAGAGAGAGTGTGTGTATATATACAGAGAGACAAGTGAACAGACTCTACTCTGACTTTACTGGTAGACAGTGTTCCTTATATAATGGTTAGCTGGATAAGAAGCTGTTTTTCGAGTCATTTGGATTGGTTCATAAATCATTTCTTTTCAACCTAAAACAAGTTATCTGGATTTTGTCAGCTGAATCCTTTGATGTCTGAATTAGGAACTTTTATTTCAAAAATTTTTCTTATTGGCTCTAAAATAATTGTTTATTAGATTTAAATTTAGATTTGTTTTACGTTACTACACCTTATTAAAAATATTGAGAAAAACTTGTTTTGGAAGTGTCAGGTTTTATTATGCAAACAAAGTTCAACTTGAATTTTTATTTATAAATAATTGCAAAAATATGGGCCATAAAATATATTTCATTAACATGAAATCCTATTAAACTTTGGCAAGTTGAGCAATGGTCAGCTAAGTAGAATATAAAGAAGTATTGTCTTGCATGAATATATACTTTAGCTTATTGCTTTTTGTTTGTGCCCTCTACTATTCAAAAAAACATCTTCTTCAAGAACTTTCAGCTTTCATCTTGGTACCAGAAACTGAAAAGATCTATAATTTTACTGCTTACAATACTACCCCAAAACATTACTCCATCTTACCCCTATTCTAAATTCTTTTAATTGGCTATTCCTATGAAGGATGTTTCCTCTAGCCCAACCATAAGTTCATCCAATGTAGCTCTACATTCCTCATTAAAAAAATTACTGTTAAAAATCAGTTTTTCACTTATATATTTCTCATTGAGGTTTGTATGTTTGGTTGTTTTCCTGCCATTAGCTAATATTCTGCATCTTTTTATTCTATTTACATTCACAACAGCAGATTGTTCAAATATTTTCTTACTGGTTGATCCACTTTTCTTGCTTTTAATTTTTCTCTTATGTCTTTTGTGACATTTTCTATTATTATCTTTTCAGTGTTTTCAGTTTCTGTTTTGATTGCACTATTCAACTTTTTCATAATTTCCAATGTTGTAATTCTTGTCACTATAGTTTACAATATCTTGTTTCTCTTTCAAGATTGTCTTTCTTACAACCTATGGTAATCTTTATATATCTGAAAATTAAAAATAAATATCAGTAACTACACTATTATTTACATTTATTTCCAATATGAGAACAATTCTGAAGTTGCATAATAAAACCTCACCACCTCTATCAAATAAGTTATTGTAAGTATTGCTAATGAAAACAGATCTTTTCAGTTGAAATTCACATGGTATATTTGTTATATACCAATATCAGATGGTTAATACCAAGTTTACTGAGAAAATATTGACTTGTATAATAAAGTCTGACAGCACATTCTTTTAAATATTCTTTTTAAATGTAGAAAAAACATATATATTTCTGTGTACCTTATGTATATGTCATTATATTTGAAATTTCAAATTCTGATCAAGTCTTAGAAAATAACAAATAATGAAGTACATCTTTTTTCTCTTAGTCACTTTCACAAAAAGAAATTTCTTAACCTTTATAGATTTAACCTTTTCTCTTCAAAAAGGTCAGTGCTTTCATTTCATTCAAGATAAATTTGTTTTCATCACAAGAAAGATTTCCTGATATCGGCCGAAACCTTAAGAAAAGCTCTTGTTATTATTCATTGCTATTACAGTCTCAAGGTCCTCTTCTTAAGATGACTACTTGTTTTGTAAATCTCAAAGAAATTCTACTAAACAAAGAAAGCTCAAAAGAGTCTAGAAAAATGTGTAAAAAAACACCTATATATCTATTTACATTCTTTTGATTGGCTATTCCTATGAAAAATAAATTTAATAACAATTTATTTTTTCAACATATTTAAATTGAAATCCAAATAGTTGTTCAATAACAATTTGTTGCCTTAATACACATAGCATTTGAGACCATGCAAGTGTTTTGAACATTCATGACTGCTTTAGAGATCAAATATTTTTCCTACTTGAGGAGACTGCTTCAAGCAGTACAGTACAGGATTTTATTTGAAGTGTGGCTGACTTATAGAAAATGTCATCTAGATTCTGGATTTTAAAATTATTTACATATTATTGACTACCAATGATACAGTATTTGTGTATAATAGGACTTGAATATGATACAAGCTTGTGTTTCTGAAGCTAAAAGTGAAATAAATTACATGCTTGAATATAATACACCCCCATAGTACAGCCATCCTTATGTAAATTTTTTGAAAAGTTGTACCATATTATAAATGAGTTCCAAGCTATAAATGACAAAAACACTTCACTAGATTAAGAATTTATTTAGAAAATATTTTACACATCTGTATCCAAAGGGGGAATAATTTGCTACACACAACTCAGTATTTACATTAGTCGGACTATTGTCCTCATCTTTGTCGCCATATTTGTCACAACGTTTGTAATGCGCTCCGCCTCAGGTGGTTGGAATTTCGAACTGAACCTTTATTTTAATTATAATGGGGTAGACTGTTCTAATTCCACGTGCCATGTTTGATGGATGTCAGTTATCAGTTATCTCCTGCTAATTTTCCCTCTGAAAGTTCTCCACTGCCTTAACCAGGAATTGAACTCATATTCTTTGGGTCTGTCACTGGATCTAACCAACGCCTTTATCCATTGTGCCATGTGTCCTTGAGGACATCTGGGTATGAACTTCTGAGTATTATAAACCTAATGTTTTCAGCATCATTTTTAAAATTTTTTTTAATTATCATTGCATGTCTTTACCAGAGTTCATATTAAAACTTTGTTATCATTGCTTTTCTCTGGCACTCCTTATTACTGGTTCTATATTGTATTTATTTCTATGCTTGGTCGGCTCAAAAAATTTTTGTGGCCTAGCATATGTGCTGATTCCTTAAGTTTACGAATTTTCCAATGGTGTTCCCTGTCTATGATCTCAACATGATCCCACAGGGGGCGGTGATTCCTCTCTCTCCATATGTGGTCAGCCACGCCTGATTTTTCTACTTCCCCCTCGCGTACTTTTGGTATTCTTGAAGCCTTACCTTGTGGCCTGTCTCTCCTTTATATATTCCTTTCCGCAGCTGCATGGGATAAGCGTATAGTCTTTTGTCATGTTCCTCTCTATGGGGGGTCTCACCGTGAGAGATACCTGCGAAGTGTTGTCACGCTTTTGAAGGTTGTCCTGATGTTATATGGACCGCAGATCTTTTGTATTTTCTCTGATAAAATCTTCACATAAGGCAGGCAGACTGTTTTCTGAGTGTTGTTGTCCTCCTCCTCCTCCTCCTCTTGTACCCGCCTATCCCAGTTTTTTGGGGCTGCTGCCATGTAATCAGGGTAGTTGTTACGTTGTAGGGTACTACTTATACTGACCAATTCAAATCTAACGTCTCTGGATCGCCACTTATGACTTTTGC